TTTGGAAAGATGTAAATATTGAAGCTGTCACTCATCCTTAAGGGGACACTCTGTTCTGGTACCTAGGGAACAATTTTTCCCCAGCTCCAGGGCCCACTTTACTGCACGTATACATGCAGCTTCTCCTCTCAGCTCTGGTCTACTGTTCAGAAAATTCTTATGGAAAAGACAACCCACACTCATTGCCAGCTCAGCCTGTGCCGTTTCCTCGCATACTCCACTCTTGTCCTCTCTCACCTGATTAGAATCCTCTCTATGATGCTCTATAGCTGTGACACAAAATGTCCAAATCATGTAAAGGCAAAATTCTGTGACATGTAATTTCCTTTTTCCTTTATTCATTGCAGCTTGCTATTCATTATCTCATTTCTTCTGATCCTGTCAGTTGCCAGAAGTCTCATTTGAGACAGATAATAATTAGCACCCTGGAACTGCTAATCACTGGGGGGTTGTATACTCATTTGACTAAGCACAAAGGTTAGTCACAAAGGCCTGCTCCAAAGCCCTATCTCAGCCACTTAATGAATTAATGACCTTGATCAAATAATCTCTTCTCTCCAAATCTCAATGTCTTCAACTGTATAATGGGATCATTATGTGTGTCTACATTAAGTTGATGTGTGGGCTAAATGTTACCACATGCATCAACTATTTAGATGTGCTTCACTGCAGAAGAGAGCCTTAATATTGAGATGTCATTATTACTTGTTATCAATGTAACTTTTAGAATAACTGTACCAAATTCCAGTGTAGGACCTCAAAACTTGGGCACAAAAATTGTAGACTATCATGGTGCATTAATCCCCTTGGGCAGCTCTAATCAAACACTGCAAACTGAGAAGTTCAAAAGCAGCAGAAACATTTTCTGTAAGTGGGGAGGTTTAAAATAAAAGTACTGGCAGTTTCCATGTCAAGGAGGCCCCCTTGATGATTCATATGACACCTTCTGCTTTGTCCTCATGCTGTGGGAAGGAAGGAAACTTCTCCCTTTAGCCTCTTTTATAATAGGCAAGAAAACTGCCCCCAAAAGGTCTATTTTCATAACCCAAAGTCTCCAAATATCATCACCTTGGAGAATTAAAATTGGAACACACTGGACAAGTGAATGACTTGACAGATAAAGACATGTGCCACCAAGATTAACAACCTGAGTTTGATCACCAGGTCCCAGATGGGAGAGAGGAGAATCAATTCTACCAGCTCTCTTCTGGCCTGCATACATGCTTCTCTGCATACACATGCAAGTGTACATGTACATACACATATGTTCATGTGCTCATGTGCTTGTGTGTGCGCGCGCGAGTGCACACACACACACACACACACACACACACACACACACACACACCCTTGGCACATACCTTTATGGGAAAGACATAAACATTCAGGCCATGGGGGAATGTCAAGCACAGTATAAGAATCTTGAAAGAGGAGGATTTGGGGTGAAGGTACCAATCCCACAGTCAGCCACCAGTATTTAATGAGAACATGACTAAGTTTGTTCATAAACACTATGAAAGCATCGGAATGAAATCGAGCTCCACTGGGATGCTGCAAAATAGGGAATCTGGAAAGCAAACATATGCTGCAGTTGAAAGGTATCTAAGTTTCCAGGCCATATGTAGTCTCTTGAGAATTTGATGTGTATTAGCATAACTAGAGAAATCATCTTTGAGCTGGCCTCTAATGACAAGAGTGGCAGTAGATTCCCTCTTAGCTCAGGAGGCCCTGGAGGGCTGTGAGTCACCTGGGTATGCTCCAAAGAGAAGGATCTGTCGGAGCCTCCCCCACTTCACACAATCCTTATCCCTTGCCTCATTCTCTAAGAGAAGGCATATGTTTCTTCGATTTGTTGTTTGCAGCAAGGTGCAGCTTAGAGGGAAGTGTGGATGCGCTTGTGTTTGCCATGAAATTAAATAAGAGCAATGATACATAGCCAATGTGCACCCATAAATTTCAAGCAGGAAAATTCGAATGTGGCGTGAGGATAGAAGTCGCTGATATATTAGAAGGGAAAGGCACTGAATCTTGGGCAAAACGAGAGAAATATAATTTCCCTGCATTATCTTGTCCCTTTCTTAATTGCCTACCAGGATGCATTCATCAACTCACTTCCCTAGGCCCCTGCATTCTACGTGTGTGCATTTTTATACAAAACTAGCTTGTGTTTTAAGTATAAAACACAGAGCTTGTGCTATCACATCAGACACAGACAATGGATAAAAATCTTCACTTGTCACTTTCCAGATATAACACATTTTGCATTTCAAAGCCACGAAGCAGGCTGCAAATAAGGAGCCGGGGGAGGGGGATGATAGAGATGGAGGCAGAAGCACCCACTGGGCTGAGGATGCTGCACAGAGGCTCACAGGAAACCCAGGCTTTTTAAGGTTTCCCAGCAGGTGCTGATGAGAAAGCAGGGCTAGCTCTTCAGACCAGGCCCATTCCAACTGCAGGCTTGGTCTTCTGATTTCAGATATGGAATCCATTATTGAGAAGAGAAATGATGGGGTTTCTTTCTGTCTTACCGTTATAGAAGGAAGACAGATTGTGGGGAATGTGGGATAACCTGTGAACTAGACACATCGAGAAGAACATGTGAAGACCTCATGGGGGAGACACACACAAACCATATGTCCACCAGATGGTAAAAGCTTCACCCCAGAGGAGGCAAAGCATAGCTGGTGAAAATCCCTGAGCCAGTGTACCAACAGGTACAGGCGTGCCAGCTAATCTTAGATCTCTGGGTGCATAACGAGCCCATCTCCAGCTAGTCTGTTGCTCCATGCAAGCTCTGTAGTATAAGAACTTGGCAACTGGGGTCTTCTGACTAAATAAATAATCCTACTTAGCCTCAGATTCTCTCCCTCTCTCACTTAACCCTTCTTCTTCTTCTTCTTCTTCTTCTTCTCCTCCTCCTCCTCCTCCTCCTTCTTCTTCTCTCTATCTCTTTATTTTTTGTTGTTGTTTGTTTTCTTTTGAGACAGAGTCTCCTTATATAGCCTAGTCTGCCTTCAATCTCATCATCCCACTGCCTCAGCTTCTGGAATGTAGGGATTATAAACATCTGTCCCCCTGGGATATGAATAACAATCTCCTTGTACTATCTCAATGACTAAAGTAGAAATTACAGACTGACAACTTCCTGCAGCACCTGACATACACCAGCAAATGCTGTGCCATCATCCGATGTTATATCATCACAAAAGCAGCTAACAATTTGTGGAACGGCAGAGACTTTGCTCTCTGTAGGTTGTGTAGGTTTAGAGAGAGAAGAAGAATCAGACTGAGTTTAACTGAAAGCCATAAAATGTTCCAATGCAGGTCTTTTTTTTTTTTTTTTTTGGTTTCTTTTCCTGTAATTTTATATTTTTCTTCTTATGGGTGCTTTACATACTATAATTAGATTGTATAACTCTTATATTTTATGCTATTGTAATTTGGCTTTTAAACAAATTTTTGCATTCCCAGTTATTGGTGTTAGTATATAAAAACATAAATTGTTAATGGCACTTGTACTTATAGAGCATTAGTTTAAGTTCACTAAAGACTCAGGAATAGTTTTGTTTATATTGCGGTGTATTATCTAATCTTGGTTGGCCTGCAAGTGGCTGTGTGGGCCAGGCTGGCTTTGAATCTGAATTTCTCTTCTGTTTCTGTCTTCCTTCCCAGGAGCAGTTATGTAGAACTATGCCAATCTCTGCACTGTGGAATTTCCCAGGAAGACAGTTATGCTCTCTTTGAGAAGGATGTGCGTGTGTGTGTGTGTGTGTGTGTGTGTGTGTGTGTGTAAAATTTGTCTTTTTTTTCAAACTGGCAAGGACTACCATCTAGCAGGACAATATTGAACATTATTAGTTACAGAGGATATACTTGTCCTGAACTTGATGTTAGAAATAGTAGCATTTATTCTTTCATATTATGTATGATACAGAATATTTTTGGTAGACTCCTTTTCATCAGGACAAAAGATTCCCCTATTTATAATATTCTTAACATATTTTACCACAAAAGAGTGCTGAACTTTTTGCAAGGATTTTTTGGCATATATTGCAATGATTATATGATTTTTTCTCTCTTATTTTGATGATTCAAATTACATTGACTCTCAGATCATTTTTTAATAAAATTGTCAGAAGCAAAACTCTAGGAAATGATTTTCTTCCAATGATAGACATTCTGATGTAGAGAACTTCAGAGAAATTAGGGGATGTCTACTTTACTTGGGGGTAAATTGAATCAGTATATGTGTCCCATAGGGCTATAAGCAAGGACATCCGTTCTGACCTTGAGAAATGCTTATGGATATTTCCAGGGAATTACAGGTGAATTTCCATGTACCCTTACTTTGAAAAACAAATGGTTATTTTATTTTCTTTAAGTAAAACATCATGTGAAATATAATTATCTCAAAAGGTGAATAAGAACACTGATGAGGGAACATTAGATTGACTAGCCAGGTCTGTCTGTCATACATGACAGCTAGGAAAAACCACAGAAAGAGCTTGCTGGGTACCAGGGACACTAACACAGCCTAGGAATTATCCGCGTCCCATGGCAAAGAAAGCAGTGAGGGAAATGATGGGGATAATGAATGTATACCCAGGCATGACCTCAGAGCTCTCAACCTATCCCGAAAACGTGACGAGTGGGAGCGTGGATGTACTGTACACTAGTAAAGTATTGACTGAATCTAGAACTTTTTTTTTTGTAAAGACATGCACTTTCTGCCTCTTAAAATATCTGTCACTGCCTGAATAAACTCCACATATGAGTTATGCATTTCTTCCACTGTTGCATTTTCATGTGTCTTTGGCTCTGAAGTGCCCTTCAAGGGTTTTTTCTGTTAGTCCCTCCACCCACCGTCCACTTGATCTCACATTGCTCCAGTAACAGCTATCCTGTAATGGGAATTTTTTTTTAAGCAACACTTAAATTGTTTTAGAAAACACAAATAAGCATAACTTTTTTTTCCCCTCATTTAATTTTCTCCCTTGCAGTCTGGTGGAAAGAGGAACTATCTTAGCCGGCTCTCTAGCAGATCCTCTGCCTCCCGTGTTCCGTATGAAGGAAGCCATGTATTAAATTGGGATGAGCCCTTGCATTTCATCAGAGAAAGTGAGTGTTGGCTTGAAATGGAGGATCAGCTCATGTGGGAATGAGATGGTGCCTGGATCATAAACTGCTACTCCTGGGCAAAGGACCGAATTATTAAAACTATTGTTTATGGTCCTTATCATTTACAAACAGGTGAACACAGAAAAAGGACTTTCAATTTCCCTAAATTAATTTTCGGTTGAGGGTTCTCTTGTGTTAAAAAGATAAGAAATTTGTTTAGAATTACAGTACAAGGAGAATACAGCTGTCTAAAGGACCTGCAAGTTTAAGGTTACCTAGCAAATATGGGTACTGCATTTCTCAGCAACTACTCCTTTTTACCATGCATTTGAGAAATTGAACATACCTTAAGACAAATAATGTTCTAATTCATAGTCCTATCTCCTCAAGACAGCTTCCTAGGCAATGGCTGTGAAGATGAGTCTGATATATATAAGAAATAATGACAATATTGCTAAACTGATAAACCCAAGCCTTGTACCATTGTATTGCTGTACTGAATAGTACGAAGTCCCCGGCCCCCCGGGGGGGGGGAGGGGGACTGAAGAGATGGCTCTGTGGGTGAGAGCACTGACTGCTCTTCCAAAGGGCCCAGGTTCAATTCCCAGCACCCCCATGGCAGCTCACAACTGTCTGTAACTCCAGTTCTGGGTTATCCAACACCCTCCTACAGACATACATGCAGGGCAAAACACCAATGCAGATGAAGTAAAAATAAATACTTTAAGAAGTCCCTCTCCAATGTGAATTTACTACAAGAACTCCTCAGCATTTCAATGTGAGAGGCGTCAACTCTCATATCTTCAATGGACTGATCCCAACACCTACCCGTTATATAGCACTGTCTTCCCAACATGGTGGTATTATCCTATTCATGCTCTTCCTCTAACCTCACATGCACATAGTTCAACATACACCTGAGACCTCATCAGTCTCTACAATTATTAGATGGAGCTATAGTAGTAATAATTTATATTTTGGCGGTGCCTCTGGTGTCAAGGAGTCTTATCCATCATTTTAAACCCAAGAGCTCAATTCCAACCTACAAAATTGTTGCTCACTAGTGATAACTAGCTAGCACAGTTACACCAAGTCAATGAGAAATTTTCTATCTTAAAGGACAGGTGGCTTAATCGAATTCCTGTCATTTTCAAAGCAAGGACTCTAGATTAGGGTGTTCCATTTAATGACCACATAGGTGTATTTAACCAGTTCCTAATAAGACCTGACATATTAGTTTCTTTGACAGCTATTTGTGGAATGTGCGCCAACGACTCTGCCATGTGACTTCCTTGATGTTCACACATAAAGGTGTACAGTCCTCAACTCTTCTTCAACTTCTTTTAGAGTACTATTTCTCCACACTGTGGAATTCACACCTGCTAATTGATTATCATACACTGGAGCATGTTCCCTATCAAAATACCTGATTTTCAACCTTTGGTATTTACAGCAGAGCTTCTTTATCTACCCTTTCATTTATTCAACAAGTATGACATGACAAATTACTCAAAGATGATCTCAAGCCCTCTCCAGCATCAGGTTTTACCTATGACCCAAATCTACAGAATGTCCTCCCCCACACTAGGTTTTGCTACTTGGCAGTCACCAGTTTGAGTTATATGTCTTAAGTTCTTTCTGGGTTGTAAATCTATACTAAATCATATCTTCCCTGAGCACAGAAAGCATACTGTGCACTTTCTATAAGTTCAGTACATTCAATTCCTGTTGAGCAATCAGATGATTATTTGACCCAATGGTTATATAGTTAATGATGAGTAGACCACTGTGAAGTTAATCTTCATAGTCAGTTTGATTGGGTTTAAAATCAGCATAGAAATCTATTTTCTAGAAATATGTATAAGGGTATTTGCAGAAAAGTTTACTTGGGGAGGAAAGAACCACTTTGAATGTGCACAATATTACCCCATAGTCTGAGGTCCTGAGCTGAATAAGAAAGGAAAAACATCCGAATTCTAATTCCTGGGGACATGGTGTGACCAGCTGCTGAGCATTCCTGCTGCAGCAGAGTCTGCATCTCATCGAACTCATATGAACCAAGATCAGCTCTTCCCTCCTTGAACCAAGATCAGCTCTTCCCTCCTTCGTTGCTTCTTGTCTGATATTTTGCAAATGAGAATAAATAAACTGCCAACCAAAATTAACAGTATTTAAAGCAAGGACTTGAAAGCTTTGATATTCAATTATCAAGAGCCAAGAGAATGACCCTAATAAGAACAAGAAGAACCAGCAGGACACCTTAGAAGAAGAAGAAAGCCAACTATGCCTTTCCATTAGGAAAATGTCCTTCAACTGGGCACTGAGCTTGAAATGAAAATGAAAAGCCACTTAGTCCTTTTCCAACTGAGGAATGTGGAGGAGGTGTGCTTCACCTCCCTCCCCTACTCTGAGCTCACAGATGCCCAGAACAGGGTCCAGAGTTCACAACTCATTTTTCAGCTCTGAAAGAACGCTCCCCACCAACACCGCTGTCTGGGGACAGGTCAGTGGGTGGATCCTTTTGTGCAGAATGCAGGATTGGCATTCATTAGAGCCTTTCTTTCAACCATTTTGCTCTCATTATGCACAACGAGGGCTTAGGTAAGTAGGGATTAAAGCAAGAATTATTCTAAAGCAGGAAGCTTTATCCTCAAGACATGAAAACAGAGAGAAACCAGTTACAAATGTAGGATTAGATTATAAACTTGTTCACTGAACAGTTACATGGCAATTTGCTGCAGTAATTATTACCATTAATTTGAGAGCCAATAATTATTACAAAACTTCTACCATTTCATCTCTCATTTATTCTGAAATCCTGGCGTGCATTTATTTATTTATTTTTCAGATACCTGGTTTGCTTGGCTGATCTAAAAACCTCTGTCCTAATGACTTTTATAATCATGGGCATTTTGGATGTGAATCAAAAACTTCTAGGATTACTTTCTTACATTGGGAAGGCATTGTGCTAAGATTGAAGAGGTAATTCTTCTTGGTCACCCTTCTCCATGCCGAGCTGTTCAGCTCAGAGGTTAATAGAACAGAAGGCAGTGACTGCCATCTTGGATCTCATTCCATTTCAATTTTCTGGTCACAAACACAATGCTGTTTCTAGCCAAGGGGGGTGAAGAGGAGCATGGAAGTCTTCCCCTTGATGCCTTTCCCTCTGGCCTTTCAGTCTTTAGAAAGCAGGAGTCAGTGCGGATGTAATTGAACCGCTGTGCTTGGCTTCTCTGCTGAAAGAGAGAGAGAAATAGTCCCTCCGGTGACTGGTTACAATGGATTACAAACTCAGCTGGGTTTAACTTTATAAATTAAAAATTCTGGTTGGGATGTGGGTCCAATGGTGACAGAAATTTTGCATTTAGAAGTTTTGGTTTCCTTTCCTGGGCACCATTAAGTCACACTGACTGACCATAATCATGGCTAGTTAGAGGGACTCACAAATTACTCAAGTATATCTTGGCAGACCATCTAAATGAATCTACGTTAGAGACAGCATGCTATCAATATCCATGGCCCATAGTCAATCTTAGATTTATACAGAAGCGAACAGTTGTCCACACTAAGACTTATCCACAATAAGTCAAGATGGGTCCCTTTAAGCCAAATACTCTAGACATATTGATGGTGGGTATAATGGCTAATCTTGACTTTTCATTCTGATAGTGTTGAGAAGTGTTTAGGAAATTAGTCAAACATTTTCTTTCGGGCATATCTATGGGGATGTGTTCAGAGAGAACTAACTAAAAGAGGGAAGACAGCATCATGAAGCTAGATGGGATCATCTCACAGACTTGGAGCCCAGATGAAATTGCAAAGGAAAACCAGTATGGCATTCCCTATCTCTGCATTGTAGATACAAGAGATGAACACATCTACTCTGGGTTATTCTTCGTTTCATCATAAACATAACCCCCGGAACATCTGAAACAAAGCAAACCTTTCCTCCCTTAATTTATTTATGCTAGGTATTTAAGCACAGTAATGGAATGTGTTTGTGTGTGTGTGTGTGTGTGTGTGTATGTGTGTGTGTGTGTGTGGATGGATGGATGGATGGATGGATGGATGGATGGATGGATGGATCAGTTACGTTTCTCATTGCTGTTCCCAAACATCAATGAGACACAATTTAAGAGAAGAAGCACTCACCTTCATTTTAAGGTTTAAAACTGGATTTAGTCCATCATGGTCAGAAAGGCATGGCAGTTGGAGCTTGAGGCAGCTAGTCTAGTTGAGACCATAGTCAGGAGCAAGGAGTAGGCAGGGGTAGGGTTGGTCTATCAAACATCAAGGCCCACGTACAATGAATTGCTTCTCCCAGCAAAACTCCACCTCCTAAAGATTCTACAACCTTCCAAAAACAGTGCTACAATTTAATAACCAAACATTTAAACATCAAAGCATAATAGTAACTAAAGCAGCAGAAGAGTTGGAATCAAAGACTATAGAATTTGCAGAATTTAAACTATAGAACACCATTAAGAAAACTCTAGTGCGGGTAGGAGGAGCTAGAGAGATGGCCCAGTGGTAAAGAGCATTTACTGCTCTTCCAGGGCAGGGACTTGGTTCGATTTTTATTACTAGCACCCACACTGTTTCTCTAAACCCCCTGTTGCTACAGCTCCAGAGGATTGGGTGCACTGGCATGTTGACACTCACATGTAGACACATACATTGCACATAATTGAAAAAAAAATAATGTATCTAGTAAAATCGTTTGCACATAAATATGAGGGTACTAAGGCTCAGAGAGTTGTGTGATTGCTCCATTGTTCAGCTAGTTTAGGAAGGATAAAGGCCATATTTAAAAGCTCTTAGGCTTTCCATGTCTGGAGCCTTTTCCCCTCCACTACACAGCAGTGTCTCAGTGCACTTGGGGAAGCTCAGAGCCTATTAATCAGTTTTGTTCCATAACAGAAAGATGAACTGGACAGGGATTCACAAAGCATCGTTAAGATAGAATGCTATAGTGATAAATAGCAGCCAGATAAACACCC